CAGTACTCGAGTACTTGGCCGCGGAAATACTGGAGTTGGCCGGTAACGCCGCTCGTGACAACAAGAAGTCCAGGATCATTCCACGTCACTTACAGCTTGCTGTCCGAAACGACGAAGAGTTGAACAAGCTCATGTCGGGAGTCACCATCGCCCAGGGTGGTGTATTGCCTAATATCCAGGCCGTTCTCCTGCCAAAGAAGTCCAACCCTAAATCCAAGTAAACCACTAAGTATGCACTGCATACACAAACCAAACGGCCCTTTTCAGGGCCACCACATCCTCCAAAAAGAGAACTACCGTAATAATTATAAATGATGTGTGTTGTTGTGAACGAGTGTAGAATTAGCGTAGCACTCAGAATCGCAAATATTATTGTAAGGGAAGGCAGGCCGGCAGCACGGCGAATGCTATTCATCTCTATCCTCAATTCTGATTGGAAGTATATATTTGCAATCGGAATCCGGGTCGGGTGTATAAAAACAGCCAGTGAGATACCCGCAGTATCATTCTCGTCCTAGTTCGAGCCGAATAGTTAACATACAATCATGTCTGGTCGTGGAAAAGGTGGTAAGGCAAAGGGCAAGTCCAAGACTCGTTCATCCCGTGCTGGTCTCCAGTTCCCAGTAGGTCGCGTACACCGATTCTTAAGAAAAGGCAATTATGCCGAGCGTGTTGGTGCCGGCGCTCCTGTATATTTGGCTGCAGTACTCGAGTACTTGGCCGCGGAAATACTGGAGTTGGCCGGTAACGCCGCTCGTGACAACAAGAAGTCCAGGATCATTCCACGTCACTTACAGCTTGCTGTCCGAAACGGCGAGGAGTTGAACAAGCTCATGTCGGGAGTCACCATCGCCCAGGGTGGTGTATTGCCTAATATCCAGGCCGTTCTCCTGCCAAAGAAGTCCAACCCTAAATCCAAGTAAACCACTAAGTATGCACTGCATACACAAACCAAACTGCCCTTTTCAGGGCCACCACATCCTCCAAAAAGAGAACTACCGTAATAATTATAAATGATGTGTGTTGTTGTGAACGAGTGTAGAATTAGCGTAGCACTCAGAATCGCAAATATTATTGTAAGGGAAGGCAGGCCGGCAGCACGGCGAGATGTTATTTGAATAAAAAAAACAATAGTATCTACACAGCTCAGCTCTCGGTGGCGTTTTTGTGACACCGTGCTCTCCCCGCAAATGTAGCAGTCACATGGAAATGCAAAACAACAATCGAGATAAATGCATTAAAGCTTCAATATATCCATCTCACACTCACCACGTATATACACAATTCGCCAAGCAAGGAAACACGTTGCTATTTGCAATGACGTCTCTGTATTATGTGTTAATATATTATTAGGCATTTTGTATGTGGCGTAAAACGATCGCGAGTGCATCAGTTGATGTGAAAAACGGGTGATTGTAAATGAGTTCGTCTCGGTGTTCCAGTTGTGCGAGTGTGCTTCGATTGTAAATCACTTTATTCATGACACACTGTACTGGTCTTCTGATTAGCATTGTATGGAATATGTTATCGACTGGGTGGAGTAGTAAATTAGAGAGCTAGCCTCAGTCGACTATAGTGCCTTGTTTGAATGGAAAACGGGTAAATTTACTTATACTGACTGCAATGACATTAAATATACGTATATACGTTC